TATTTAGTTACATATTTCCTATCAACTTTGTTTAAAGAGATAATATTTATTTTATGACTTTGCATTGTCTTGGAAGCACTATTTTTATTACTCTTACAAACATTATTTTTATGAAGTGCATTCTATAATACTTCCAATTTATTTTATGTTCACTAAACTAATATTGATGTATTTTTTATTTGGTAGGATTGTGTTGGTGCGATTGATGGAACATATATAAAAGGGAAGGTTCCTAAAGCGGTGCAACAAGCATATCGTAATCGCAAAGGAAGAACATCACAAAATATCTTATGTGCTTGTGATTTTGATATGCGATCTACCTTTGTTGTTGCTGGTTGGGAAGGTACTGCACATGATAGTAAAGTACTTAAGAATGCACTTGTTGAACCAACGTTACAATTTTCATTTCCGCCACATGGTAACTTTAAATTACATCCTTAGAATAAAATATTATTTATTTACACAAAGCTGTCTCATTTACGTCATATATGCTTTTAGTAATTCTTTATAAAATGTTTTTTGGTAGATAAATATTATGTTGTTGATGCTGGTTTCCGAAACACAAAAGGTTTTTTATCTTCATACAAAGGACTACGCAAGTTCAACGTGAGGAAATTGTCCGTACTATGTGGGAGGATTATATTAAAGACTAGTACACTACAATTTATGTTCAATTTTTTTTATTTAATTAAAGTTAGATGAAACAATTACTTAAGTGGAGAACAAATAACTTTGTAATAATTTATTATGCGATGTTATAATTTTTTGTTTATTTGATAAGATTGAATAAACAATTGGAGCTATTTTAATAGTTTTACAACTTATGAGATTTTTATGTTTATGAGAAAATATACAATACAAAAATTCCATATCACATGTCCAAACAAACCTTTAATTTCATCTCATGATTCCATATCATGATACCATATCATGATTCCGTATCATGATACCACATCGCATGGCCAAACGGGCCCTAAAAGTTAAATACGATTTAATTAGATACCACAAAAACCAAAATTAAAATTAAGCAGTATAATTAAGAGACCAGAAATATTATTCTCCATTTTATTTTTCAAAAACTCAATTACTATCAAACAACTAGAACAAAATTACACCAAAAATATATTTAAAAAATTGTCGGTGAAAAATTTAAGTTTTGTTAATAAATAAATAATTTTTATAAAAGGAAAAAAAAGAGTGGGAATCGGATTGGGAAAGAGACAAATCTTTGATTCCCTTGTAATCGGAAAAAAAAGGTGACCCTTTCTGAGTTAATTGAATTGATAACCCCACAATTAGGAATTAATTAGTGGTAATTGTAGAGAGGAGTCTTTTATGATGTGTGACCCGATAGTCAAGTCACAAAATCTGCATGTGTACGTACTCTCTTTAAATGCCATTTTACACAAAGAAAGAGAATCCCTTCTCTGCCCCTTTTTCAGGTTTTCTGTTTCTTTCAATAAAACACACAAATTCAATTATAAACATTACACCCCATTTATTAAAATACCCATCTTCTCCTCTCTTCTCTTCTTTGTTCATATGGCTATTCAAGCGCAATTGTATGCGGATAATCTTTTAGGTGGTTCAATGGATTTCATGGAGAATGCTTGTGGATTTAATCAGTTTTCTTTTGCTACTCAGCAACACCAACAACCCTTTCAACAGAATTTACAGCAGCAACAGATTTTTAACCAGAAAATCATGAATCAAAATTTGATGAATAACAACATTACTGAGTCAATTCCTTTTTCACAGTTTCTAGCTACCCAGATGGAGAAACAGAGGATTGAAATCGATCACTTTATCAACTTACAGGTATGGGATTTTTGGGTTTTTTTTGTTGAGTTCATTTGCGGAGATTTATTGATTGATTTTGGTGAAAACAGAATGAAAAATTGAGATGGGTTTTAAACGAGCAGAAGAAGCAACAACTAGCATTGATTTGGAGAAAATACGAATCGAAACTTGAGTTTTTACTGAAACAGAAGGATGAAGAAATCGCTAAAGCAGGGAATAGGACAAAGGAGCTAGAAGAATACTTAAAAAAAATGGAGATGGAGAATCAAGCATGGCAGAGAATCGCGAATGAAAACGAAGCTATTGTCATGTCATTAAACAACACAATCGAACAACTAAGAGAAAGTGGGTATTGTTTGTCCACCAATGGAGAAGATGCAGAATCTTGCTGCGATCTTCATGATGATGAAGATGAACAAGAAACAAAAAAAATGATTTGCAAAAGCTGCAATTCTCGATCTTCGTGCATGATTTTCTTGCCCTGTAGACATCTTTCTTCATGCAAACCTTGTGATTCTCTTCTCCATCAATGCCCTGTCTGTGGAATACCTAAGAAAGCTGCCATTGAAGCCTTGTTTTGACCCAAAAAAAAAAAATTTACAGAAAAAACTTCGGTAAATGGGTAGTTAAATTTATTAATTTCTTTATGTTTTTCTTTTTTTTAACTCTTTTGTCAGGGGGATTTACTGATCTTTTTTAGGGGTTTGTTTTTTTGTGTACTTTTTTGATGAAATCCCCTGCTGACTGATGAAATGATGAATAGTTTACTAGTGTTTAGTGTACAGTGAAACAATGAGCATCTTTTTTGAAGACTTTACTTTTTTACCTTTTTTGGTGGGATTTTAATTCTTTGGATATTGCAGTGATTTAATTATTCATATCTCACTCATAACAGCAGTAGTTTTTTTTTAGAATAAGTTACAACCGTGACAGAAAAAAAAAGTTGATAGCAATGTCGTCAGAATTTCAGTATGGCTCTCCTCCTGTTTTAGCGGCCTCGAAAATCTTAATAAAGTTATTTTATTTACACAAATAGTTAACGAGTGTTTATGTTTAAGTTAAATGGTATCTCATAAATTAAGATATATAGAGTAATTGATTAAGATTATCATATTCTTAAAAATAATAGTGTTAGAATTGTAATTATTATTATTTTGAGATCTAGTAATATAATAAGTAGTAGGAGTATATTAGTTAGGGATGATTTGCTTGCCTATTAAAAAAGAGTTAATCATGTATGGGACTTGCGTAATTTTTTTTAATATGTTATTTGGTTTTAAGAATTGGTTAAGATGATTATCTCTGTATAGAATCTAACCTAAGTTATACTATATTTGGTTGATCTTATCTCATTCTGCATACATAACATGATAAATAAATCATTCGGTTCAAGATATGTTTTTTAGCGTATAATTAATATATGTGTAAATTATGAGGAAATCTAGATATTATTATATATAAAATAACTACAGATATGCTTTACTAATTATTACATTATTAATAATTATGATTAATGATTAATTTTTACTTTATTAATATTTATATTACTAATACATGCATAATTCTAATCACCTATTAAATAAACCCTTTAATGCTACTAAAGCAATGGCGTGAAGAAATGGAGGACAATATGAAAAAAAAGAAGTGATATCGTTTGTTTTGAAAACTCGAAAATCTCATTAAATGATTGTTGGTTTAATTTTATCATGTTGCGTTTCATTTACACAAAATATAAATTATTTCATTAGTTAAATTATTTATCGTAGTGACTAGTGAGAATGTTAGCATTTATTAATTGAGAAAAGGTTCTATACAAACTCGTGGTCCCTCCGTCTCATATTATTAAAAAATATTTTTTCCAGAATTATTATTTATTTTACATAACTAAAATAGAGTGTATTAAGAAGAGTTACAAAGCAATTAGCAATTTTTTCTCTACTTATTTACAATTTCCTTAGTAAAGATGTGTATAAAAAGAAAGTAGAGAAATAATATGAGAGGAAAATATATTTTCAAGGCCTACCTTGCTAGCCTTGCCCTTTATGCGACTTTACCTATACACTGTGAAGACTCTCAAGTTTCAACTCAAATAAAATGAAAATATAAGAGTACGTGTCAAAGAAAATAGTAACAAGTTAGAAAAATTCGTGATTGGGTTTTAGAGTGTTGTAACTATTCATTCTTGTCCAGAATAGTATATATATAAATAAATATAGTCGAGTAGTTGATAGAAAAGATATGGGCAGTCAAAAATATAAATTTGTCAGCACAGTATTAAATTGAAGGTTACGTTAATAGAGTAGTAGTAGTTGGGGCCAGTTTTGTGTGCATTACGTGTTGTACAGTGCGCAGTGTACGGATAAAGAGTGGACTTTCCTACTAAAATTGTCCATATTATGTGGTGTGGTGTGGACCCATAACGTAACGCTCTTACTCTTTCCTATGACCCACCCGGACTCTACTATTTCCTTCCTTCTATATTATTTGATTTAGATAATTATCATAAGTCTTTTTTTTATTATTATATAAGTTTTTATTTTATTAAAAAAAATTTTGAAACTTCAAAATTTAACTATTACTTCATTTGTTTCAAAGTAAGTGTTATTTTAGAAAAAAATTATTGCTTCCATCAAAGGGTGAGGGAATCGACCGAAGATCTCAGCCATTGATGGAAATTTCATCCGTATTCGATCCTCAATTCTGGATGATCGTTTTAGGGATTTTGAGAGCATGTCTTGACTAGCAATGGATGGTTTTGCTCTTAAAAAGGGACCTGATATAAAAGATGTACCTGTGCCCTAAGAGTAGAAGCTAGAGAACCTAAAATACTACTATATCTAATTCCCTCTAATAAAAAAAGAGTAAAATGATTGTCAATACAAGATAAGAAAATGCCTTTGGTTGTCTCAAAAATTATTTTACAACACTTTGATATTTATCTTTTTTTTGTTTCTACAAGAATGTTTGGCTTATTTCCCCCCTCACCTAGCATCAACCTGAGAATATGAAAAAGTATTGACTGTGCAATAAAAAATGCTGATAGTTGAGACTTGAAAAAACCTTTCCATACTCGAACGAGCCACAAATTTTCAAGTGAATCAACAAAACTCATATCTTTACTCAAACAAGTGGCAGATAATCTTCAAATTGTTATAATACTTACTATATAACATCAAATGTTACGGTCCACCCCCTAAAAGCAAAATACTACAAGCTTTCTCTTCAATCAAAAGATATATCCTCTCATCAAAATGACATCCCCTAACACTGAACGTAAACTATTTTTGTCGCCGGATCAGACCTAATATAGGCTAAAACCAAAAAATTGACTGACGATAATTGCAATTCCTAAGCCAATTGCTATCAGGGAAGAAGCCCAAGTGAGCTTCTCTGTTATTCTAGGAACTCTATCCTTCAGTACCTGACTACACGAGCCTATAAAGACGGTATAGCTTCCCATTGCAATAACAGTACCAACCAAGAACATACCCAAGAAGGCAGCACCAGCCACGCGAGAAGGCAAAGCAAGTGCGGGCAAGATCATCATCAGTGCATCCGGTTGCAGCCCATGGACAATTCCAGTAGCAAAAGTTGCAAAGCCTATCTTTTTCTTCTTCCCAATGACAGGGGTGTCAATGCCTTCGTACACACTAACATCACAGTCACCATTTTCAAGGGCAACACATGGTGTAGCAACTTCAGATGCTTCCTTGATTCCCATTGCTCCAATGACAAGAAGAGTGAATCCAACTACTCTAGTCCCCCATGTACGAATAACTTCAATGTGGAGTTGGTCCTTTAAGAGAAGAAACAATAGGCCAAAAATCAACTGTCCAGCATCATGGCCACAGCCCCAGAGGGCTCCCACTGCCGCACTCTCCATCGGTGTACGGCCTATCGACAGAGGAGCCAAAGCAGCAAGATGGTCAGGACCTGATAGGGTGTGAAGGCAACCAGCAAAGAAACCAGCCCATGCACTAGTTAGTAGTTCATTACGTACAAGTTGAGTCCCCACTGCTGCTGCAGCTGGACCCCCTGTCTTAGCTGCAGTTTGGAAACTAGCAAAAGCAGGTGAAACAATGACTGGGTGGAGGAGCATAACAAGCATGGCTGAGAGTAAGACTACTGTACTAGTCGAAACCACCTGAAAGTAATCAGAAGCCATATTGAAGAATATAGCATAAGTGCCTTCAGATGAAAATTTAATGCATACTGTAATGCCACAGGTTTTTTTCTTCTTCTGATAATGCAGTGTCCCATAGAAGCAAATGTAACAAATGGTTTTTTATATTCATTTTCCTTGTGTGCTACTGCATGGCGTAATAATGAAGTTCAATGTAACTGACATAGAGAAAATATAGAATCATATAGGTATCTCCAGGCCTAACATCCTGGTGGCAAAACAACTGCTTTAAAAGGTCCATCTGCTGATAAATGCTAAAAGCTACTGTAGTATTTATTATAGGATCATCTTTCCATATATGTGCAGTTTTATAGACTTTGTAGTTTCCAACTACTGTCGATATTTAAAATCAGGCATGTGCAAAAGAGATGAACATTAGCAAGAGAGCAGAAGGTCTATTTCCATACAAATAGCTCAGGGTTGTTGAAAATGAAATCTTTCCATGTAAAAAATTGGATACTTCTAAATTAAAAGATTCAAAATACGTCCACGGTGATGATTACAGCACTAGCTACTCTATTGAGACATACAGCTGGTTGAATCCTTAATTCTCTTAAATTCAAGATTGTTTTTCTTTGGTTTTCTAAGTTAAGTTCAATTTCTGTAGATATGAACATTGTATGAGATTTTGTAAGGCTACAAAAAAAGGTGAGTTACTTTCTAGCCAGAATTCGACTTGTACGAAATTCCAACTATAGCAGAAATGGTTTAGTTGGTACTTGGTACTTCCCGAACTTCTTTGTGATTCCAAAGTAATAAAAATGAAAAAACTCTGCACCAGTTGTTCTTATTTACTATCGTGAATTGCACTTTTACTTGCACTTAGAAGGGGCATTTAGAACAACTTGTTCATTACACAAGTTAATCATCATTAGAAAGAGTTACCTCCTGCTTCATCAGATACTAATTTAGTATGGTTGCCTTTAATTTTAACAATATAACTCTACATATATAGGATTGTTGGTTCCTACATTTCTAGAATCTAGGGTACTCTCCATATAAAATTTCTAAAGAAGAACTAGGAGAAAGCCAAAAGGATACTGCACCAGATGATTCAAGCACAAAATGCAATTCATACTAGTATTAGTAGCACATAGACATTTTGGTTTCTAGTGCAAAATGGGTCACTACTCATCATCCATCACCTTACAAGGCTTTCAACTAACATACTCACTCGAAACACTGCCCTAAAACCAGCCTCTCCATAATAAGCAATGTTATTATTAGTCCTACAACTCATAGCATAGGAATGGAAAAACCAAAGTTGAGTTCTTCATCGTCTCTGGGCTAATCCTTATACCTGCCAATCCTAACCATCAAATGAACAAAACAAGATTGGCAACTGCAACTCCTGTATTATTCCTACCCTGTTTCGATTATATTCTTTTATTGGCTGTCCTTAGGAATGAGCAGTTGGTAGTTGCTGATTCGGACTGCAAGCTGTGTTGCCGCAAGCAGGCCAGATTCATTTATCAGAGTAGCACTGTTAGTCCTTGTGGCTTCATCCTATGTAAAGTAATAATTCCTTGACCTAAATCCCCTGCTAGCCCATCTGTCCATCCACCATAGCTCTACACTTTTACTTTTTTCCTTAAAACTGAGTGGTTACTCCCTTCAACAATACTACATCCAGTTGTAAGAATGTGAGAGATGTAATATCAAAAATCAAAACCACATTTTACATTTTAAGATCACAAATGATAAAGCTGTCTAAGTGTACCAATATTGGCAATGACTGGCTATGATTTTTTTTTTTTTTTTTTTTGATAACCGAGAAATCCGTTTGTGACCTGCCCTTTGGACCAATCACAGCCTTCTAAACGCGGTGGATAATGGGCCCGCCTCTCTACCCTTCTCCACTTAAATACCGGGCTTCGTTTTGCATGGTGTGGGGCTTGAACCTGCGACCTAAGCCACAAATCCTCCACTTTTTGCCACAAATCCTCCAACTTTTATAAGATCATCAGAATCAAGTCCCATGTTAAGCTTTAACTATTTTTGTTTCCTCAAAGTGAACTACATTTCAAATTATCTAGTCCTTTTTATCACCTAAAGTTAAGATATTGTTCAAGAAGAAAAAGGTAGCAACTTCCATATTGATTTTTTTTGTTTGATCATGGTACTGATAAGTTAAGAAAAAGGTATGTCACCGCCAAAGTCAACTGATAGAAGCTTTGTTGTATTAGAAGGACAAAGATTTCCAGACCCTTACTGCAATTGCAAATTCTCAACAAAACAAGCAAAAACATGCAAAAGGTTTCACTCATCTACTTATTACTTGGCATTGATGTCAAATGTCTTACTCATTCTCTCCATAAAGCAAGCACAAATATTATCACATTAGCAAATTCAAGAAACTGGAATTCTGTGCACTAATCATCACTCAGATACAATCCTAGCAAATACAAGTCAGTAGCACTTATCAACCAAATACTAACATTCTGTATACTAACCTGATCAATGGTCCTCCCGTGCAATTCACCATATTTAATAGTAGCATAACACACATATTGTATCAGCAAACACATCTACATCTAGATTGGTACTCTACACGGAACAAATATACCCTGTAATATTTCAACTACCGAGAAAAAGCAAACTATTTACACCAGCAGCTCAATTTTATCCTATATGCATTGCCAAATTTCAAATTGCAAACAAGATTAAACGCACTTCAAACAAAAACATGTCTGAAAATAGAAAAGCAAATACCTTGCGTTGTTGAGATAGAATTTCAGCAACCCAATGGAGCAAATGGGGCTTCGAATCCGACCCATCTTGCAAATCCTTAGATGTGGACGAATTACCCACATGCCCATCACCAAATCTGGAAGATGGGGTCGACCCAGAAGATGAAAACTGGTGAAGACACTTGCAAGAAAGCGAATTGGGTCTACGAGACTCAACATGGAGAAGGGAGGAGAAGTGGAGTTTAGGGAGACGAGGAAAGGTCTTTAGGTGGAGTTTGGAGGGAAGTGAGTTGGTATAGATAAGCCTCTCCATTAGAGTAAATTGTTTGCCCCCTTTTGGCAAATAAGTATGACCTATCTATCTTCTCAATTTGTCTGTTTGTTTCTTAGTTTGGATTATTATCTCTGAAAGAGATTTTCAGATTATGCTCAACATACACCAGACCAGAGAAGAGAAGAGGGTTGAAGGAGCAAAAGTATTTGGAGTAGTTGATGACATTTCTTCTTTTCATCCATTCTTTAATCATGGTATGATTAGCATGTAATTTTGGGTTAAGCGCCTAAGCATTTTTTTAAAAAAAAGGAAAGGACAAATATACTCCGAACTATCATAAATATGATATGTAAATATTCTCCGTCATACTTTTAAGACATTAATGATTCTGCCGTTCAAAAACTAGAGCATATATGCCCTAAAATAGAAGGACATTGATATTAAAGGACAAATATTATGACTTTTACCCACTATCAAAGTTTTGTTTTTTCAAGCTTACTACTTTTAGACTTTAGAAGGTGACTAACTATGATTCTAATTAAATATAGAATTAGTTGTTAAAAGATGCTCAATAAGATACATCAAGTTAGACTATAATGAAGTGATTCAGGTAAATGATATGAACAAGTCTACGAAATACTAAAAGTCATAAAGATACTTCAATTATGCACTTGCACCACCACTTAGGAGAAAAGTAATACTTAGAAGAATGGGTCAAAGTCCCATTTAGGTATGCTAAAATGTGAATGTTTTTTTTTTTAAATAATAAAATCTCTCATGTTTGATATTCATATTGAAATATAAGTTAAGGTTGAATTTCTTTATTATGTGGTTTATTTTTAATATAACATTTTAAATATTATTTTTTATTACTAAAATCTGTATTTTTGATAGATAATGAAAAAATCTCAACTATTTTCACGAAAGACGGCTCATATGGACTAAAATGTGGATAGTTGATGGAACTAATACCTAACTTGGCTGACTGATTAATGTTTATTTTGAAAACAGAATATTGAGAGGTGTGGCTTCTTTCTCACCACAATTATAACAAATTAAAAGAAGTACGTGACTTTCACTATTTTAAAAAAATAATAATATTATTTTGACAAATCAACCAAAGCACAATGGACTCCACACAAGGATCGTGGAATATCAATACAGGTACATTTTGTATCAATTTGTTCAGGTATCTATATATGTTTTGTTTATACAGTAATAAATATATTTGTATCAATATGTCTATGAAGTATGTTTATTCTTAATTATTAATTTTGTATTGATGTATTCAAAATAAAAAACATTCTTCGTTTTAAAAATATTGAAGATAAAATCACAAAGTTGAGGGTATAATTGTCGTTTTCCCATTATAATAATATAGTTCATTTTTCGTTCTCCCATAATTTCTCCTATTTTTTTTTATAATTAAAAGCAGAAAAAAAGAGTAGGAATAAATAATTATTTATAAATGTTTGTATAAACCGTCACTATGTTTCCGGAAGGGATGTATTAAGCAATTACCAACTTCACCAAAAGATGACACCTTTTCGAATTCCTTATTTTTTGCAACTTCTAACTTATCATCAGAAAAAAAAAAGAGCCTAAATTATGGAAAAATAGATAAATATCTGTCATGATTAATATATCTAAATTTGACTATTATTTTATATATAATTATTTAATTTAAAAATTGTTTGGAAGAAAATAATGTTTTTTAATTAATTTATTAAAGAAACAAGTATAAGATTCAATTAAAATGAAACGGAGTACAAGTGAACCCACCAACATTGAAAACTCAAAGTCAATAACTCCATGCGAAATTGCAGGCACAAATTCGTGAGTTAAAGTTAGTTCTGCTCTTTATATAAAAAAAATTTCTTCATATATATAATTTCCTTAAACATACAAAATGTTTCTTCCTTGGTTCATCCAATCTAATGTAATGGCAAGAAGATCATATTACCACTTTTTTTAGTAATGAATTTTTTAATTTACTTCATAACTTTAGCCTTAAATTTCCTTTCATAAGATTCTCCAACTTGCAAAATTGCCAGCAAATATTTCAAAAGGTCACTCAATTTTGGAAATTTATCTAGCAAAGTCATTAAACTTTAATTTGTATCAATAAAATCACTAAACTTAGAACTTTATATTAATAAAATCACTCAACTAAATTTATCATTTTAAATAAATTGACATAACAAAATAAATTAAGTTTTATATCATGTTTATGATTAAAACAATTAAATAAAAAGTTCAAAATAACTATGTCATTATAAAATAAAATAATAAAAGATAAATGTCAATTTTGAGATATTAAAATACAATTTTAACTTTCGTATGGTTGTTTCCACTTCAACTTTAAATACATTTTTTTTTAAAATTCTCTCCAAACGCCTACTTAGTAAAAATATTTTCCTATAGAAATTAAAAAAAATGCTCAGACAAATAACACTGATATAAAAGGTTAACTGTATCAAAATTATTTTAAAATTTTCTCCAAAAGTCTATCGAATGTGTCCAACTTTTGTCTGTATACTCATGGGAATGTTAATACAAAAAATAAAATAAAAAATCTACCAATTTCAGAATTCATGATGATGAAGAAGAAGAAGCAGTAAGAAATTACGAAAGACAGAAAGGAAGCTGCTGAAAATGTTGTTGTTTATCTTTTAATTATTTTATTCTATAAAATGAAATAATAATTTTAAGCTATTTATTTATTATTTTAATTATTATGATTATGATATAAAAAATAATTTATTTTTTCATGTTAATTATATTTTTTATAATGATAAATTTAGTTGGGTGATTTTATTGATATAAAAATTTAGTTGAATGATTTTATTGATACTAAATAAAATTCAATGATTTTGTTAGATAAATTCTCAAAATTGAGTGATCTTTTGAGATATTTACTCTCAAAATTGATACTCCGTCTGAGCCATTTAACAGTTTGTTGCTAAGGAAGGACAGGTATGTTTAGCACTCTCAATTAGGGCTGCTCAGGACGGATTGGGTATCGATTTTTAAATTCACTAATTCGTTAGTCAATCTATAAGATATTTGTTGGTTCGGCAACATATTAGCAATTATCGTACAGTTATCGAACGATGTAACAACTAACTTTTAATGTCTATGTTACCTAATTTTTGTTATCAATGAACGTACCTTACAGAAAAAATAACTTCTTTTTAGCCAAAGGAAAAATATATAACTGCTCTTGTATATTAGGGTATATAAGATATTAAATTAGGGTAATATACGTAGAATAAAGGTGTAAGTACTAAGTATGGTAAATATTAACGGGTTAACGGTCCACCCGATAAGGAAATTGAATAACCCACCCCGACATCAATATGCCATTAATTTTAAAATTTTATTCCGTTCTCCAATTGTTTGTTCGATAATCCAATATTAATAAGCCAATAAACTAATTTACAATTGACTTATCGATTACGGACTTAAGGTTCGATTTTGAACACCCCAGTCTCAATAGATCCACATAACAAATCCAATTGGAAATTGAAGTAAGTTAACAGAAGGGTAATGAGTATTAATTAAGAATTATAAACATGTACCTGCAATGGCGTATAAAAATTTAATTATCATACGTATAAGTTGATTATATACCGACTCATTAATTTCAACTAATTTAAAATTGAAAGAGGTCTTAAATTCAATTCCACTTAAACACAATTTTAAGCATAAGTATGATATACACTTTGATTGGAATTTGAACCCCAACATCAAATAACAAAATCAACGAGCGAACGAACATATAAGTTTTTGTTAAATGGTGTCATAGACACTCCTTCGCTAAAACATGTGTTGGTCCATGTGGATATTTGATCTATATGAATATTCCAAAAAATAGCACTGCACCTACTTTTTCAAATTAATTGGATTGCCTATAACAGCCACATGCAACATTTCAATACGCCAACGAGTTGCACTATATATATGGTTTACATCTACTAATTTTTATTGTTTTGGATCTAAACTTTCATGTTCTTAATTTTGTTAATAAAACCGCCAACTAATTATAACAAAGATTGTGGTGATTTTTAACAAAGATCTCATATTAAAGTCTTCAAATTTTATTGAAAACTCCACCCCAACGCAACGCAGAATATATATGCTATGGTATAAAAAGAGATTGGTAAAGAGTGAAAAGGATCTCATCTGGGGCCATAAAACTTGGTTCACAAATTTGGGGTAAAGATAGCAGGGGAGTTACGTGGCATAAAATTGGAGTCTCATTATCCTCTACCAAAATGAGAGGTGCTGAGCCCAAAATGACAAATAATATAATTCAGGGATAATAGAAACCATATGATATGATTTAAACAAGAGAGTTTATAGTTTAGAGTGAGTGTAAGGAGAGAGCAAGAGATGGCAAAGCCAGTGCAAATTGAAGTTTGGAATCCAAATGGAAAATACAGAGTTGTTAGCACAAAATCTATGCCTGGGACTAGATGGATTAATCTTCTCATTCAACAAGATTGTCGTCTCGAAGTAACTAACATTTATTATAGTAACTGTTCCATCAATTCTTTATTTTTATTTTGAACTTAACTTGATTAATTGAATTTTGTAGATATGCACTGAGAAGAAAACTATTTTATCAGTTGATGACATTCTTGCTCTTATTGGCGATAGGTGCGATGGAGTCATTGGCCAGGTGATCGATCATACATGTGTTAAGACTAATTTATTTTTTTACCCACCCCATTCTATTCTATTCTAGGGTACTCCCACAACTTGTTGACTCGAATCCACAACCTGGATGATGTTTGCCACCCTTAGTTGCTTTCAATTTTCTTCAAATTCAAGCTATATGCTAATGATTCATATTTTCCCTTTAACTTATAAATTTATCCTTTATGCTGTTGCCGTTAGTCCAGAATTGAACTACTTTGGTAACGGCAAGGGTGACACTTTCCAAACAGGGGGTAAATTTGTTCCCATAGTCCAGACGCAAATTTGGACCTTTTCCCTATTTTAGCTAGCGTTTTCCCAGCAGTTTTTGGGAGAAATTTCACTTCTTCTCACAAAACAACACTTTTCACATTTTTAATTATATATGTATGGACATTCAATTGTTATGTGACCTCCTGATTTGTGTATGGAGTGGAAGTTAAATTTCATATGGTTTTGCTTTTTCGGGTTTTGTGTTGCTCAGTTGACAGAAGATTGGGGAGAGACACTTTTCTCTGCATTAAGCAAGGCTGGAGGGAAAGCTTTTAGTAACATGGCTGTAGGATACAACAATGTTGATGTCGAAGCTGCTAACAAGTATGGTGTTGCTGTTGGAAATACACCTGTGAGTTTATACTTGTCGTTTTTTTTCACTTTGTAATAATCCAATTTCTTAGCTACAGCAATAACCAGTAATTTTGCATTACAGATTAGATAGATACCTTAGCTTGTAATGTCTTAAATACTTGACATGTAAAGTCATATGAGCTCCGAATAGTTGACAATTTTGAGAACCTAGTATTCTTTCGACTCGCTCTTTTTATTGGCATGGGAAATAAGGCGATCTTATTATAACTATATTTTGTTTTGCATACGCATACATAGTTAGAGCCAAAAGCAATGAGTTCAGCTGAACCCACATAACTCGTCCTGGACCCCCTCTAGATGAATGGAGGATGAATAGAAAGTCGAAGATGAAATCATTTAAACTTATCAAAACGACTGAATCTTTGCCAATACCTATCCAATTGACATTTAAACCAACATGTAACAATGAATCTATAGTATAGTATGGACGTTAAAGTCAGTTGTTTTTCCTCTTAATAACAAGTAGTAGTAGTTTTTATTTTTCATGTAAGGTCTTTTATCTTGAATTTCTGTTATGAGGGAATGCCCCAATTACTTTGAATATGAAGTTGGTAAAACATTTTTTTTAAAAAAACAAGTCACGGTAGTCCTGAAGTTGCTACGTATGCGTTAAATTAATCCACAGCTTGTAGATGCGGTAGGAATGATTTTATCAGATCGAATAAACTTGATCTGTATGGTGAATGATGCAAGAAAGCATCCAATTTATCTTCTGATGTAATGCTCTTATGATCAGGGAGTACTGACAGAGACTACAGCAGAGTTAGCGGCTTCACTTTCTTTAGCTGCAGCAAGAAGAATTGTGGAGGCAGATGAGTTCATGAGAGCTGGAAAATATGAAGGATGGCTTCCACATTTGTATGAAAATCTTCGATTCTATTTATTGCGTCTTCTCAGGTCTATAACTGAATTCTTTTGGTCTAAAAGTTCAATGATTTCATTGCCAGGTTTGTGGGGAACTTACTTAAAGGACAAACGGTTGGCGTAATTGGGGCTGGTCGTATTGGATCTGCTTATGCTAGAATGATGGTAATCAGTTAGTATTATCCTCTAAATTTGCTTTGAAACTAGGTTGCCTTGTGCTTTTTGCTCTACATGACAAAACTTCATCTTTGCTGAAACTCATGAATAAGATATTGTATGTAAATCTGCTATGTTAATTGGAGCAACTTTGGTGTTTTATCGCAACAGGTTGAAGGCTTCAAAATGAACTTGATATACTACGACCTGTATCAATCTACTCGTCTAGAAAAATTTGTGACAGGCACGTTTTAATCAGTCTGCTACATTAACAAACTTCTCAAGCTCATTGCATGTACTTATGTTTTCTCGCCTTTGCAGCCTATGGTCAGTTTCTGAAAGCCAATGGTGAACAACCTGTAACATGGAAAAGAGCTTCATCCATGGAGGAGGTCCTCCAAGAGGCTGATGTGGTAATTATCTACATCGAGAGTGCACAATTAGATTTCTTATTCACTTATCTGTATATACATATTTATTGGATTCTCATTCAAGTTCTTATCTTGATCAAAATGCTTTTCTAGATAAGTCTACATCCAATCCTTGATAAAACAACGTACCATCTTGTGAACAAAGAACGGCTAGCACTGATGAAGAAGGTATATCATTTGCAAGAATATATCTATTTTGCTTGCTGATTTACTCAAAATGTGATATCTTGATATTACTTGGCCCAAACTGTTAGGAAGCAATACTTGTGAACTGTAGTAGGGGGCCCGTGGTTGATGAAGTAGCTCTTGTTGAGCATCTGAGGGAAAATCCCATGTTCCGTGTTGGCCTTGATGTCTTTGAGGTAATAACGAATAGTAATCTGTTCCTTTCTGTTGATCCCATTCTCCCGTTATGAACGTATAAAAGGCGAATCCCAAGGTCAATGAGATACTGTTGTGTCACGCGCCATTTCTACCAAGCAAAAAGCTCTCAAAATAACCTACTCATGTTGGGTGTAGGATGCATGCTTTTTCCTTGTCTTGTACATTCAAGTAATGCTCTTCTTTTATAATCGTGTTGTCTTAGGATGAGCCCTACATGAAACCCGGTCTTGCAGACATGAAGAATGCTGTTGTGGTGCCCCACATAGCTTCTGCTTCTAAGGTAATTTTACACATAATTATGTTTTTATCTGTGCTTAACCGTGTAAACTAAGAAGCAATATAATGTTCTGCTATGACAGCTACGTACTTCCCATCTAATTCGCCAATTATGGTGATTTTTGATAGTGTTGCCAGTTTGTAAGAAAAAAACTAAAATCTCCTGATTCTTGATGCAGTGGACTCGCGAGGGAATGGCTACACTTGCTGCTCTGAATGTCCTGGTACGCAATTTTTTAAGGACACTGTTGTGCTAAAAATCACAGTGAACATAAAGACAGACATTGTATTGTGTTTTGGATTGTGAATGTTGCATATGTTTGTTTACAGGGAAAAATTAAAGGGTATCCAATTTGGAGTAATCCAAACAGTGTGGAGCCGTTCTTAAATGAGAATGCGTCGCCCCCTGCTGCATGCCCGAGCATTGTGAATTCAAAAGCTTTAGGTAACTAACTCGTATATGCAATTCATAAGAGCTGCAAATTTGGTTGAGGGATTTTGCTAAATACATAATGGTTGATTATTGCAGGCTTACCTGCTTCAAAGCTGTGAAGTTGAAATGTTTTAAGTGATTCAACTTATATATGTCAGACTATTGGAAGGAGTTGATAATGTTTGCTATATATCATTTGTGTATATTGGTTTACATGATTTTGCTATAATTAGGACGGACACAAGTTTTACTCATAATCTCTTGTTTAACACATACATTCAACCCTAACTCCGCCTGTTAGCTACCCACACTCTCAATCTGGAGAATTCGACTGATGGGACTAGAGCTGTCAAAAAGGGTCGGCCCAGCCCCACCCGACCCAAGCCTCGCCGGCCAAGGAATTTGAAGTTGAAGGGCTAGGGCGGGCTGACCTTTCATTTGGAAGGGACTAAAAATGCACAACCCAACCCAACCCTAGAAGGGCCGACGTGGGCTAGCCCTTTTTTTTTTCTTTTTCAAACTTATAATTCTATAACATCAAGAAAATGAGAAGATTTTCAAATCAAATATGACAAATAATTGTGTTGTTTTAATAACACTAGCAAAAAGTCTAGTGTAATTAACATGTATCTCGCATACCAGATACGCGAGCGAGATAAGAGAGTGACAAACAAGATTTGAGGGATGCGAGGACGCGTGATTTGTCTATGCATTCTAGATACATGTGAATTTACTTGATAGAGTGTATCTAGAACAGATGAACCTAATTTTGAGTTCATATATTTCAAGATATATGTATCTGGACTAACCAATATCTCGTAAGATTCATAATATTACAACATAGCGTGTATTTAAGTAATTAGATTATATACTAGTAAGATTATTGTAAGTTACCCTTAAATAAAAAAATTTGGCCCATGGACCGACCCTGATCAAGCCTCAAGGGCCAAAGACTTATATGGGTCGGGCTTATAAGTCCTAATTTTAAAATGGGCTTGAAAAATCATATCTCAATCATATCCCTATAATGGGTTGGATTGGGCCGACTCCATGGGTTAAGCCCGTTTTGACGGCTCTAGATGGGACGTTAACCTTTACCACGAATTCAAGAACAAAATACACACGAATTTTCCCCCAACAATTAACCAATCATTGACAATAAGCTTAGACTTGGGAGAGACAACTTATAATATGGTTTCAACTTTCAACAAGAATGTATTTAATTGCCAGCCATGTTTAAATTAGTATTATTCATTATTTTTTGGACTTTTAACTTATATATGACGAATGTGGACAAAGTAACAAACCAGCATCATCATGATAATTTAGCTTCAAAAGGAATTTGGCATTATTATCCAAAGAAAGAAAAATAAATTGCAATTGTGATATTATCCAAATTCCAAAGATACAAAAATGTAAAAAGAGAAAAACAATCACAATTGGATCAATTCAGTTACTCTATTATTTAATTTTAGATTTTCCATTCAATGTCAAATACTATTTTAATAGTCGAGACTCACTTAATTCAAATTTATATAACGTAAAAAGAAAATATGCTCCTTCTAGGAGTCATTTAATTATATTCTTTGATGATGAATTATTATTATTTACTACAAAAAATATTATGCAAACTTGATTCTAAAAATAAAGATTGTGAGAGACACAAAAAAAATTCATTTATTTATGAAATATAGTGCTACGACTTCAAATATGGAAAATACTATATTTATTTCTATTAATTATATATGCATTTATTTTTCTATTGTCAAATTATGTGAAAATTCAATTAAAACTTTATCATAAAATTTTATAAGAGTAAGAAAATCTGAGTCTAGGGTTGAAAGGGTAAGAAAATTTGCCAAAAAATTCAAAAGGGCAATAAAATTGATTATTGAACCAAAAGGTAATTTTCTAACTGTGAATTTGACACTGTTTAAATTAGGGCAGTCACTGCAAACCGCAGAATTCCATGTTCCTTGTAAGGCTCAGCTGCCATGCGCCTTGCAATTACAATTCATGGCGGCTGAGCCTTACAAGGAACTTACCTTTTAGAGATTGTAATATGAAGATTAATAATTACTGGATTAGTTGTGCATATAATTCTATTAGCGGATGTTTATATAATTTTGTATTAAACATAGAATATTGCGGATGTTTATTAATTTTTTGTAAAAGATAGTAAAAATGAAGTAATTTTGTTTTTAATAATTGGAATGAAACAAAAAAAAAAATTAATTCCGCCTCAAGGAACTGGGATTCCTGCGCCTTGCAAGGCTCATGGTGGCTGAGCCTTACAAGACGCATGGAATTCCGCGCCTTGCAGCGGCTACCCTAATTTAAACGGTGTCAAAATTATTATGCAAACTTGATTCTAAAAATAAAAGATTGTGAGAGACACACAAAAAAAAATGAAAAAATTACTTGGATGCGTCCTTTTAATAAATAGTTATTGAATTTAGCGATACTTTTTATTTATTATTATTTATAGCAATACATAACAATAGTATGTTAAATCTGCAATATGTATATTAAAAGTGAATTATGTATGCAATAATATGTATTATGATTGTTTTTAAAAAAATATATTATCGTGTTTGGTAAGAAACTGACACATTGTATTATAAGTATATTAAAATGTGTGATAAATGTATTATCAATCAATAAAACTTGTATTATATGTGAATAATAAAACTTTATCATAATATATGCAATTATTTTTCTATTGTCAAATTATGTGAAAATTCAATTAAAAACTTTATCATAAAAATTTACAAGAGTAAGAAAATCTGAGTCCGGAGCCGAAAGGGTAAAAAATTTGCCAAAAAATTCAAAAGGGCAATAAAATTGATTATTGAACCAAAAGGACAACTTTCCAAGTGTGAATTTGACACCGTTTAAATTAGGGCAGCCATCGCAAGATCACGGAATTTCATGGGCCTTACAAGGCCCAACCGCCATGTGCCTTGTAATTACAATTCATGGCGTCTGAGCCTTACAAGGCGCATGAAATTCTGTGTCTTGCGGCGGCTGCCCTAATTTAAACAGTGTCAAATTCACAGTTAGAAAATTGTCCTTTTGGTTTAGTAATCAATTTTGTTGTCCTTTTATAATTTTTGGCAAATTTTCTTACCCTTTCAACTCTGGACTCAAGAAAATCTGCTAACAAGAGAAGAAAACTTACCATTTTTACTATAACTTTTGAGAAAAGAATTCAAATTTGGATGTAATTATTTTGAAACCAAAAGAAAGAAAATTCTTAATTATTTTTTAAAAAATAATAAAATGTTTTCATTGTAATTAAAAAAAATAAATTAGGTCGGTGGAGCCGAAAAGGTAGATCTTTTAAACCTAATAGGAGGGTGGTAAAATTAGTAGAATTACCACAGTAAAATAAAAACGGGTAGTTACAATAAAACGCCTATATATAGTCTCCCTCCCCTAATAGATTCTCACTTTTTCTTACACACAAAGAAACAAAAACTCAACCGTTTTCTCTCTCGTTTATCAGTTCTTGTGTTTGCTTTCTTCCTCGATTGACCGACTATGTCTTCTCCAAAGAAGATCTCGTTGAGGAGTTCCGATGGCGAGGTTTTCGAGGTGGAGGAGGCGGTTGCTTTGGAATCGCAGACCATCAAGTTTTTGATCGAGGACGATTGCGCTGGCTCAGATATCCCTATTTCTAATGTCACAAGCAATATCTTGGCAAAGGTACTTGAGTACCTTAAGCTCCACGTGGAAGCCTCGTCTAAGACAGATGACAAGGCCGCCGCTGACAATGATTTGAAGGTCTTTGATGCTGAATTTGTTAAAGTTGATCAGAAAACTCTCTTTGACCTCATTCTGGTATGGTTTGATTTTTACTGTTTTCGTTGTTGGAATTGTGTTGATTTTTTATGGTTTTGTTGTACTGATTTTGACTGATTACTGGTTTGTCTGTCTCATCTGTAGTTATATGCCCTGTTTTACGACGATTTCTGCTTCTGTTGCTTTTATTGTTTGTATAATTTTTTATGCTTGTTGTTAATTTGCCTGATTTTCTGCTTCATCCGTAGTTGCACCTCTATGTGATGTTTTTCTTTCATTGTTTTTGTTAAAATAGATCCTTAAATGTGGACTAATGTAGATTCGGGAATTCTGGCTGAATATTGTATATGCTTTACACTTTTGATTGTACAGTCCCCAATTCATATTTAATATTTGCCTCCACTGTCACTGATACTATTCTATACTAGTAACCTATACTCTCCCCAGTTCCCACTTTATATGTTCTTGTTGTAGTAGCAGAAGTTACCAAAAAATAAATAAAATCTTTTAATGTAGACTTTGTTCCTATTGTTGATTTTGTAGTTTTGGGAAATCTGTATAATTATTAGGAACTGAATTTGAAAATTGATCTTTCAACAACTACAGTTTAATATTTGCTTTCCCGTCATTGTAATTAATAGAACATCTGATGAATAGAAGTCCCTCCCCACTGGGTGTGTTCTTGTTCTTGTAGTGTTTTCAAAAACAATGAGAGAGTACTGCAGATGAACTGATATATATAGTTGGTCACTTTAACCCATTGTTTATATGCTTCACTTTGTAAAGGTATATTGGTGATTTGCTTTAGATTATAATAATAATAATGCATACTGTTTTTGTGACATTTCAGGCTGCCAACTATCTGAACATCAAGGGTTTGCTTGATCTTACCTGTCAGGCTGTGGCAGACATGATCAAAGGGAAGACCCCAGAGGAGATTCGCAAAACTTTCAATATCAAGAACGACTTCACTCCAGAGGAAGAGGAGGAGGTTAGGAGGGAGAATGCTTGGGCATTTGAATGAATTGCTGCCAATGTTTTCATATTCTGGTGCTGGAGTTGGAATATTATGTAGTAGTAGATTTCTATCAACAATCGTTATGTTTGTAGTAATTATGTTTTGCTTTTAAAACCTTTAGATATTGTTCTTGTTCATGACTTTTGCATTGCAACTTTAAGTCGTTGTTGTTCAATGACTAAGACAATTTAATCACTTTTTGCTGTGCTTATCAATTATGCAATTGTTTTCTCTTGTCAAATTATATCTTAAAATTTTATTGAAACTCAGGAGGCCTAATGCCTATTATTTCTGTCGTAAAAATATATGAGGTCATACGGACCTTATAACTTGGAAAGAGTGAAATAACAAAACAAAAAATAATAATATTACTTGACTAATTCACATTAAGTAGTCAATTTATGCTTTGGCAGCCAGGGATCCTGACTAGTTTCACATGAAGCATGAATTAGGCTGGAGATGATGTCTTTTGAGAAAAGAATTCAAATTGGGATGTAATTATTTTGAAACCAAAATATTTCTTTACTTTTCAATAAAACAATAACATGTTTTTAAATTTAAACCTAATAGGAGAGTGGTTAAAATTTGCAATAAAACGCCTATATATAGTCATCCTCTCTTTTTAGATAACTCAATTAAAAAGAAAACTAAACCGTTTTCTCTCTCGTCATCAGTTCTAGGGTTTCCTATCTTCCTCGATTTACCATCGACCGACTATGTCTTCTCCAGCGAAGATCTTGTTGAAGAGTTCCGATGGCGAGGTTTTCGAGGTGGATGAGGCGGTTGCTTTGGAATCGCAAACCATCAAGCACTTGATTGAGGACGATTGCGCCGGCTCTAACATCCCTCTCCCTAATGTTACAAGCAAGATCTTGGCAAAGGTGATTGAGTACTCTAAGCGCCATGTCGAAGCCTCGTCTAAGACAGAGGACAAGGCCGCTGAGGATGAGTTGAAGGTCTTTGATGCTGAATTTGTTAAAGTTGATCAGGGAACTCTTTTTGATCTGATTCTGGTATGGTTTGATTTTTACTGTTTTCGTTGGAATTGTGTTGATTTTTTATGGTTTTGCTGTACTGATTTTGATCCGAATTTATTTGTTTGATTTTATGTTTTAGGGTTCATATGTTAATGGCCTGTTTTACGATTTCTGTTTCTGATGCTTTTATTGTTTGTGTATTCGGTTTAATTTTTATGCTTGTGGTTAATTTGCCTGATTTTCTGTTTTTAGGGTTCATCCGTAGTTGTACCTTTATGGGACGTTTTCTTTCTCTGTTGCGTTAATTGTTTGTGTATTCAGTTGAATTGTTATGTCTTCGTTGTACTTATTTGATTGATTGGTAGTTTTGTTTGCCTGATTGTTTAAAGTATAGGCTGATAACATGCTTATAATTTCCTTTAATGTAGACTTTGTACCTATTGTTGTTTCTATAGTTTTGGGAATTCTGGCTGACCATTGTAGATGTTTAACACTCATATTGTAAAGTCTCAAAGTCTATGACCTAATTCATATTTAATCTTTGCTTCCACTGTCACTAATAACATGCTAATAGAAGTAACCTCTACCCTCCCAGTTCCCACTTTGTGTGCTCTTGTTGTTGTAGTAGAACTAACTTCAATTTTAGGCATTTTACAAGTATAGGGTGATAACATGCTTATAATTTCTTTTGATGCAAGCTTTGTTCTTATTGTTGATTCTGTAGTTTTGGGAATTCTGAACCCCTTTAAGTGGCTGATCATTGTATTCTGTTGAGTCCCAAAGTGTATGACACAATTCATTTTCCTCACTAATTATTATTATTCGGAAGCCTAATTTTGTAATGATCTTTCAATAACTAGTTTAACATTTTCTTCCACCGTCACTGATATTAATATAACATGCTAATAGAAGTAATTTCTACCCTCCCCAGTTTCCACTTTGTGGGATCACATTGTGAGTGTTGTTGTTGTGGTAGTAGAAGTACCATCTAAAACAATGAGAGAGTACTACAGATAAACTGTGGAGCCCTGATAAATATAGTTGGTTGCTTTAACCCGTTGTTTATATGCTTTGGTTCTTCACTTTGTAATGGTGATTTGCTTTAGATTCTAATGCATACTGTTCTTGTGACTTCTCAGGCGGCTAACTACCTGAACATCAAGAGTCTGCTTGATCTGACCTGTCAGACTGTGGCAGACATGATCAAAGGAAAGACCCCAGAGGAGATTCGCAAGACCTTCAACATCAAGAACGACTTCACTCCAGAGGAAGAGGAGGAGGTTAGGAGGGAGAATGCATGGGCATTCGAATGAAACCGTCAATGTTTTCATATTCTGGTGATGGAGTTGGAATATATAGTAGTAGATTTCTATCAACAATGGTTATGTTAGTAGTAAATAAGTTGTTAATGTTTGCTTTTGGAACCTTTAGATACTGTTCTTGCTAACTTTTGCAGTAAAACTTTGTTCTTCAATGAAGACCTGATGTTTCTCCGTAGTGTTATTGCTTTAAGTGGTGCTTTGGCTAGTGGGCTTGAGGCCTCTGCTTCTCAAGTAATAAACTTCCATGGGCAGAAAAAGTTGTTTGGTATAATTAGAGAGCTGTTTGCTTGTTTTTAGGATGCTGTTGCTCCAGCCAAATGGGAGAAGCTGTTTGAACTGCAACTAGATTGAACAACACTAGAGAAACGCAATAAAGATTGAACTCCAGTACTTAGGCTCGCTCATTCTAGAACAATCAATCTGTGCCTATGCCTACGCCTAGTTAAATTGGAGTGTCAATGCACGAAGGAAGGATTTTGAAACTAGCCTGCATTATTGGACTCCAATATCCTTTAGAACGGAGTACCTTATTTGCTTTAGTTAGTTTCCTCCTAATTCCTGAGCGTTGTCTATATAGAAGAGGAAAAAACAAGTAATGTTCAGTATCACTGTTAAATATACAACTGGTCTTGTTGTTTTACGATATTATTATTCAAATTTTGAAATGGAATAGGTTGGTTGGATAGAAAGGGCTCCCTGTGCCTCTATGATCTCTACCAGCGTACGTCCAGGACTGTAGCCACAATGCCAGAAAATATTACCCAAAGCTCTTTTCACCATGACGACAAGACAAGGGACACAAATTGTTCATAAGTTAACTCTTATAGTTTCTTCTAAGTTGGAATCCGTTCAAGTTTGTCATATCTGATGCCTGGATAATTTAGCTCCCATGTCTTTTGATAATAAAGATTAGAGAAAAAACTCGTAAAATCCTTTGTTTTGTAGATGATAAACATATTATGAGAAGAAGAAAAATCTTTTCACCGCTCAAGTCTTCTTACATGTCACAATTATATATCAAACTATACATAATCCTTTTTTATTTTTGTGGAATATCATATCTTTCATCAAAAACATCATTTTGATGGAAGTGCATATCGTGGAGGTGTACAATTTTGGGCTTAATCAATCACAAAAGTTAGCTCACCAAAGGATGATTGTGTAGAGTATAGACAATAAACATATCATGAGAAGAAGAAAGATCTTTTCCATAGCTCAAGTCTTATTACATACATTACATGTGGCAATTATATAAGTATCAAACTATATATAATAATCAATTGCTCTATTTAATTGCAGTTTTTTTTTTTTGGAATATCATATCTTTTATGAAAAAATATGTATGAACCTCATTTTGATAAAAGTGCATATGGTGGAGGTGTACAATATATGTTGTTTTATTTGGTTGAGGCAGAGAGATATGTTTGTTTTCATTGTCACCATGTTTTCCTTATTATGGGCAAGTGGGCAACAACATGAACTTGTCTTTTCAAGAATCAAAATGCCACAATATATATCCACATACATAAGACAATATAATTCAAGAAACTATAGTATATATATATATACTAGAAAGTAATGGCATGTGCCAGCACGGGCCCAATATTATTAATTATTATGTAATATTTCTTTTTTTTGTTAAATTTGTTTTTACGTGAAATTGGAGAAAAAAAATTGATGAATCTATCGGTGTATTCTGTAAAATGTTAATTTTCTATATTTGATGAGCTAAAATTTTTGCAACATATTTCCTCTAGAAAATAAGTTTTTTTTTTCTTTTGAAATGAGGAAATGATTTCTATAATAAATATCATAACTTGATATCAATTAAAAGTTGGATTACAAGTATGTAGCGTAAGATAACCTTGCATATTAATTGTTTGTTGATATTTTAAGGAACTAAGTTTTACAAGATAGCTATGTACACTTATTTTACATAATAACAAAATGTGATACATTGTATAGAAAGTTAGTTGAGATGCAGATTGAGTTGTTTTGATCTTTGATCAAAAGATTAAGACCTGATACATATGAGAGAAGAAGAAAAAATATTATTCATAAATTACAAGATTGGAAAAAGAATCAAATCACAATTGCTTGAAATAGTAGGTATGTACATACAGGAAAGCAAGTGTACAATTACTTCAATATAATGACTTAAGAACCAAGTGCAAGGCTGATAAGGCTAGGTAGATAGCTATTGTTTTTGAGGTCGGCCAAAGCAAAGACAAATTCATAAACACAAAAACAAGTAAAGTTGTCGATCGAGTCTATTCTTTAAGTTCACAAAGAAAACTCAAGCACAAATCTTCTTGTGGTTCATCTAGGAAAATGACCGCAGATCGGCACTACTTTGACTTGAAGTTCCTTCATCATTCAGTTCTTTATTGGTAAACTAAGAAGTGATTGATTGTACAGAGAACTATCTCCAAACTACCTCTAATGCATCGATTAATAAATGAAAAGGACAAACGTAGTTGTTTTACACAATTCAAGTAGCTCATATATCATAATACTTTGAAAAACTATATGAGCTCTAAGGCAGTATATTGATCACAATAATCAAACTACTTTCACTGCTAGTAATATAAGTAAATGCAACAAACTATCAACCACAACTACACAAAGGCCAAGATATATATATAAATATGGTCCCAGCAAAATCTATAAAATGGAAGATTTTTTGTACTATAATGGAATAGTCTAGTTTTGTGACTTCAATTGTGGCTTAAGATTTATAGTCTTTTATCATAGTTTTGTGCTCTTTTAACCGAAGACCTTTTCAGGAATAGATTATAATGTC